GACAATCAACTGAGAGACATGGCAGGCGTGACGCACGTTGTAGACCTGAATGACACGTCTCGCGTCACAGACGTTATACAGTTGGACAACGCTTCTAACGTTACACATGTTGTAGGATTGGACGAGACCTCACGTGCTACCCATGTCGTAGACTTAAATGATGTACCAGACGGGACATATGTCGAAGAATCAGACGTTTCCAATGAAAATAATATGAAAGAATCAAATGTTTCCAACGAGGCACACGACGAAGAGTCAAAAGACACCCCAATGGAGACTAACGTTGATGAATCCAAAGATGTTTCCAATGAGACAAGCGTCGAAGAATCGAAAAACGTTGCCATGGAGACAAATATTGATGAATCAGAAAGTGCTTCCAACGAGACAATGGTGGCGAGCTTGAGTGAGAGCTTGAGTGGGCAGTCTGACGTAACCGTTGTTGAGTCGAGTGACATAACGGACGTGACTTATGACGTAACACGCGGTACGGAGGCGTGCCAAGTGTCGAACGCCACTCGTGACCAGAGCTTGGAGGACACGTCTGACTTGGCCGCCTCTGGAGTAGCTAGCTCTGACACAACTATCTTTGACGTGAATATATCTGACGTGATAGCCTCTGGCACTACTATCTCGGACGTGAATATGTCTGACATGGATACGTCTGACGTGAATATGTCTGACGGGATAGCCTCTGGCACAATTATTTCTGAAATGACTACACATGACATGGCAGTCCCCGACATGCCAGCCTCTGCAGCCGCTGACGTGACTTTCTTTGACGTGGAGCCTCGAGCACGCAGCCGCACCAGTAGCAGTGTGAGTAGCGGCATGCCTACCCTCTGGAAACCGCCCCTGGTTACGGGCCGGGACTACAAGAGACGCGGCGCCAAGTGTGTGGGAGGCCAGGACAGCAGCTCGGCCAGAGAGTCGTCCGAGGAGGACATGGCTTTGGGGAGCTCCAGCGCGGGTACGTCGGATGACGTAGAAATGGTCAGCGTGACTTCGACCTCCGAGGAAGGGACGGGGTCGGACTCTGTCGACGGCGACAATGGCATAGACAACAAGGCCCACAGGCACCAAGACGTAGTGGATAACGCTTACGCCCAACGTCTGTTTGACAACCTGTACGTCGGGCGCCTACCCCCGCCGGACAACGCACGCCCCCCTCCACCACCCGCACCCCTACCCCCGCCCGACAACATAGCTCGCCTACAACTGCCTGACAACGCCGTACGTCTGAGATCCCCGGATGAGGCAGGGGGCGTGGACGAGGCGAACCCGGAGCGGAGCGACAGCGACAGCGCCCTCGGCCTCACGCCGGGACTGCCCAGCTCTCACGAGTACGATACCGTCGCCTCCGATTCCAGCAGCAGAGAAAGCAATGACGATTCTTCTAATGGCTATGTCGTCTGTACAGGGCGGACGGGAAGTCTGGGCGATTTTGATGACGAGGATTTGGATGACACACTGTGCAATAGCCATGACCTTGAGTTCCACGACATACCACCTGAGGGAGTTCACCGACCTAGCCCTACGAAAAGAACCGGAAATGATGCGTCAGCTTCTACACACTACACACCGGGTGTGTCCGCCACTACACACTACACACCGGGAAAGTCCTCTTCTACACACTACACATCAGATGCGTCACCTTCTACACACCTCACACCGAATAGTTTTCTCTCTACAGACAACACACCAGTCACTTCGACCTCTACACACCACACGCCGGGTGCGTCACCCTCCACACACCACACAGAGGATGCGTCCTCCTCTACACACTACACACCGAAGAGTTTACTCTCAACAGACAACACACCGGGTGTGTCCCCCTCTACACACTACACCCCCGAAACGTCCTCCACTACACACTACACACCGAAGAGTTTACTCTTTACAGACAACACGCCAGTCATGTCGACCTCTACACACGACACACCGGACACACCACCCACACCACCCACACCCAACTTCCAGCCGCCCACTACCTCACACAGAGAGGAAGAGGACGCTGCAGCACAGACTACGTCCACTACACAGTGGACGGCTCATGACGACAACGTCCATCACCACGTCTTGTCAGAGACGACAGGGAACAGGATCTCGGCCGGAACCACAGGGACGTCTACTGGAGATCCGTTAAACTCCCAGCCACCCGAGGGGATCTCCGTCCGGGCGCCATTGACACGTCAGAGATCACACACAATCGATGAAGTCACCACGGGAAGTGCCAGCAGCTCACTGACAACGAGTGATACCAAGATGAACGTCGCTAAGCCAGATACGAATCCCTCATCTTTTGGCTCAGTTATTAAGCCCTCACCCTCTGTCGTAGATACGGTCGCGAGAGAGGAAGACAGAAATGAAATAAAGGCAGAAAGAGAGGGAGAACGAGAGGAAGCAGAGGGGAAGGGGGAGGAAGAGCGACAGAAAGAATTGTTAGAGGGAAATAAAGAACAAGAGAAAGTAGAAAAAGAAAGAGAGGAAGGACAGATATCAGAGAAAAGTGCAGAGGAAGGGCAAAGAGTAGAGAAGGGGGGTGAGGACGGACAGAAAGTTGAAAAAGTAGGAAAAGAAGAACGACCGAAAGAAGAGAAAGGAGAAGAAGAAAGTCCAAAAGAGAAAAGAGGAGAGGAGGAAAGTCCAAAAGAAGAGAAAAGAGGAGAGGAGGAACTACTGAAAGAAGACAAAGAAGGAGAGAAAGAAAAAGCAGAGAAAGGAGGGGAGGAGGAAAAGAAAGAGAAAGGAGAGGAAGAAAGACTGAAAGAAGACAAAGGAGAAGAGAAAGAACAATCAAATGAAGAGAAAAGAAAAGAACAGAAGGCAGAGACGGGAGTAAAGGAAGGACCAAAACAAGAGAAAGGAGGAAAGAAAGAACGACGGAAAGGAGAGAAAGGAAGAGAGGAAGGACAGAAAGCAGAGAGAAGAGAGGAAAAACGACCAACAGAAGAGAAAGGAGGAAAGGGAGAACGACGGAAAGGAGATAAAGGAAGAGAGGAAGGACAGAAAGCAGAGAGAAGAGAGGAAAAACGACCAACAGAAGAGAAAGGAGGAAAGGAAGGACCAAAACAAGAGAAAAGAGGAAAGGGAGAACGACAGAAAGGAAGAGAGAAAGAACAACCAAAAGAAGAGAAAAGAAAAGAACAGAAGGCAGAGACGGGAGTAAAGGAAGGACCAAAACAAGAGAAAGGAGGAAAGAAAGAACGACGGAAAGGAGAGAAAGGAAGAGAGGAAGGACAGAAAGCAGAGAGAAGAGAGGAAAAACGACCAACAGAAGAGAAAGGAGGAAAGGAAGGACCAAAACAAGAGAAAAGAGGAAAGAGAGAACGACAGAAAGGAAGAGAGAAAGGACAGAAAGTAGAAACCGGAGTAAAGGAAGAACAGAAAGCAGAGAAAGGAAGAGAGAAAGAACGAACGGAGGAAGAGAAAGGAAGAGAGAAAGAACGAACACAGGAAGAGAAAGGAAGAGAGAAAGAGCGACCAAAAGAAAAAAGAGGAGAGGGAGAACTGAAAGCGAAGAAGGGAGGAGAGGAAGGACAGAAAGCAGAGAAAGGAGGAGAGGAAGGACAGAAAGTAGAGAAGGGAGGAGAGAAAGGACAGAAAGTAGAGAAGGGAGGAGAGAAAGGACAGAAAGAGGAGAAGGGAGGGGAGGAAGGACAGAAAGAGGAGAAGGGAGGAGAGGAAGGACAGAAAGAGGAGAAGGGAGGAGAGGAAGGACAGAAAGAGGAGAAGGGAGGAGAGGAAGGACAGAAAGAGGAAAAGGGAGGAGAGGAAGGACAGAAAGTAGAGAAGGGAGGAGAGGAAGGACAGAAAGTAGAGAAGGGAGGAGATAAAGGACAGAAAGAGGAGAAGGGAGGAGATAAAGGACAGAAAGAGGAGAAGGGAGGAGAGGAAGGACAGAAAGATGAGAAGGGAGGAGATAAAGGACAGAAGGAGGAGAAGGGAGGAGATAAAGGACAGAAAGAGGAGAAGGAAGGACAGAAAGGACAGAAAAAGGAGAAGGGAGGAGATAAAGGACAGAAAGAAAAGAAGGGAGGAGATAAAGGACAGAAAGAGGAGAAGGGAGGAGATAAAGGACAGAAAGAGGAGAAGGGAGGAGATAAAGGACAGAAAGAGAAGGGAGGAGAGGAAGGACAGAAAGAGGAGAAGGGAGGAGATAAAGGACAGGAAGCGAAGAAGGGAGGAGAGGAAGGACAGAAAGTAGAGAAGGGAGGAGAGGAAGGACAGAAAGTAGAGACGGAAGTAAAAGAACAGAAAGCGGAGAAAGGAGAAGAAAAAAGACCAAAAGGAGATAAAGAAAAGGAAGAACGCCCAAAAGGAGATAAAGAGCGACAGAAAGTAGAGAGAAAAGGGGAGTTAGAACGACAGAAAGCCGAGAAAGGAAAGAAAGAACGACAGAAAGTTAAGAAAGAGAGGGCGAAAGAAGAACAAAAGGGAAAGACAGAAACAGAGAAAGAAAGCCAGAAAGCAAAGAAAAAAGAAACGGAAGAACGAAAGAAAGCAGAGACAGACAGAGAGCTTGAACTATCGGAAGTAAAGACAGAAAGAGAGCAAGAACAACAGAAAGCAGAGAAAGGAAAGAAAGAACTGAAAGTAGAGACAGAAAGAGATTCAGAAGGACAGAAAGTAGACCAGAAAGTAGAGACAGAAAGAGATTCAGAACGACAGAAAGTCGAGACAGAGAGAGAGCAAGAACAACAGAAAGCAGAGAAAGGAAAGAAAGAACTGAAAGTAGAGACAGAAAGAGATTCAGAAGGACAGAAAGTAGACCAGAAAGTAGAGACAGAAAGAGATTCAGAACGACAGAAAGTCGAGACAGAGAGAGAGCAAGAACAACAGAAAGCAGAGAAAGGAAAGAAAGAACTGAAAGTAGAGACAGAAAGAGATTCAGAAGGACAGAAAGTAGACCAGAAAGTAGAGACAGAAAGAGATTCAGAACGACAGAAAGTCGAGACAGAAAGAGAGCAAGAACAACAGAAAGCAGAGAAAGGAAAGAAAGAGCAGAAAGTAGAGACAGAAAGAGCACCAGAAGAACAGAAAGCGTTGAAAGGAAAGAAAGGACAACAGAAAGCAGAGACAGAAAAAGAGCCAGAACGACAGGACGCAGCGAAAGGAAAGAATAAATGGCAGAAAGTAGAGGAAAGAGAGAAAAGACTGCAGGCGGAGCAACAGACATGCCCACCAGAACAGGCCCCTCAGAGCAAAGGGCAGTCTCTAACAGACCAGTCAATACAAAGCGGAGGGCTCCTGAACCCGAGTGAGGAACAACCAATTGGGATTGTGCCTAGTCACGTGACACCCACCTGGTGGATCGTGTGCAGTAGGGGCGAGCAGGTGCCTATTGACACCAGGGGCGCATGGGTTGACGGTTACGGTAACGTGACGATAGACGAACCGTCCTCAGAAGAGGATAACGTGTCTGCTGCCCGGTACAGCATTATGTACAGTGAGGATGTAGAAAGAGTCACGGTAGACGCCAGCTGTCAGACCGATGAGGTCACGGAAGAGGAGGGAAGAGAAAAGAAGGGACCCGATGACGACGATGAGGACAACGATGAGGAAGGTGGTGGCGACCATGCGGCGAAACGTGATGACGACGACAGTAGTAATAATACGACAGACGCGAGCCCACGCCCGGGAAATAGTTCCACGCGAGGCGGCAGTCACATGACCGACATGAAAACAGATGTCAAAGGAACTGCTAAGCACAGAGACGATGGAGGTGGGAAAAGTTGCGACAAAAGAGATGATGATGATGATGATGATGACAATGATGAAGTGACAGATAACACAGCGAGTGACGATAAGTATGACGAGCCAGTCAGTGCTGCAAATATTCTTAGTTGTGAAGTGACAAACACTGGCGCAGATACATCTTCCGCCGAAGCAACAGCTGCTTTCCCAAATAGACCCTCTCATGATGCAGTCAGTGGTGGGACCAACACGGAAGAGGGCGCCACAGCAAATAATGAAGCCGGTCAGGCGGCTTGTGCCAGATCAAAGCTTCTTCTGGTGGTCAATGGGTTGACATATGAGAAGGTGCTGACGAAGGGGGCAACGGAGGGGGTGGCATCCAGCAGGGAGGGGGCAGCATCCAGGGAGGGGGCTGCCAGCCTATCGAGCGTCCAGTCCTCCTTAACCAACCGGCCCTGTGGCCCTGAGGGGTGCTCAGGTTATTGTGGTCGGAAGTGTGTCTTCCGGCCACCGACAGAGTCAGGGAGACGCCCTTCACGAGCGCGACATCATCGAGAAGTCAGAGAACACAAGAAAAGGGGCGTGTCAAAGACGCAGACTGGGGAAGACAGCCCTGCCCATGTTAACCAAATTGCCTCTGGTGGACATACCTGTGACGAACAGCCTCCCGCCCCGCCCCCTCGAACTTCTAGCCTATGTGTCGAGTCACAAGCAAGCAGTGGCCGATGGCGGCGCTGTGGTCACCGACACAACGACAGGACACAGGCAGCGGACACTACCGGTCGCGCTGACCCTCGAGAGGGGGCGGGGCGGAGGGTGGGGCGAAGGGTTGGGCGAAGGGCGGGGCGAAGGACTGCGCAGCGTGTCACTCTTAGTGATGGTAGCTTCAATACAAGTCCAGCTGACGCTTCAAACAATGAGATCACGACACCCTCTCATGAAGTCTGTCCGGAACGTGAGTTTGGTATGGGTAACACGAGAGTGCCCCCTCACGACCCCCATCTTAACGAGCGTGAGTTCTCAGCGGATGCCAGACCGGTTGCACAACCTTGTTGCCACAATAACCAATCGAGTGGGAACCCCAGCGGTGACATCACTATGTTGCGTGACACGGAACAGGTACTTCGAGTGTTCGTCGATCTACTGTATGTGAAGACATGCACGATGTGGGCTCTCGAGCAGATGAATTCTCATGGTCAGAGTGGACAGGCGGAGGAGGGCAGGACTGACCAGTTGTCTACGCACGGAAGCGCTCCTAGCACAGCCCACGCTTCTGGTGACTCGGGTACACTCGGTGCTCCACCAGAACGAGACACTACACGCGTGCCTGTATCCGCTGGTGACGGGAGGGATAAAGTGAACCGCGAGACAGCGAGTGGCACCGCGTCACGACATACAGCTACGCCAGCCGATCCGGGACCCGAGGGCCAGATGTCACAAAAGAATAGCCAAGTGAATAACTGCACTCAAACCCAGGCCGCTACGGAACAGTGCCAGAGCAGTGACACACAAGGCCCAAAGGAGCAAGGTGATAAGATCCGAAGCATCAACGCAAGGTTTGAAGACGTAAGGGGAGTTGACAAAGAGCCACGTCGAAGCGGACCAATAGTTTCTAAAGGTCAGGGTGAGCCCATGTCCGGCTCTCGTCTCTCTACACTGGACGTGGCAGATCCAACTGATGATCAGCAACACTTTGAGGGAGAGCGGAGTGGAGGGGATAAAAAAGATGAGGGGGAAGATGACAGGGACGATGAAAAAGAGGAAGAGGAGGATGACGCTAAAGACTCGGACACAGACAATGATGGCGATGACGACAGCGATTATGATGCCACTGAAGAGGACCGAAATAAAGACAGAGATGATGATGGGGATCCAGACGGAGGAGAAGGCAGAGATGATCCTGGTGAGGATGATGATGATGATGACGGTCATGGTGCAGACGGGGAGAGAGAGACAAACCGAGAGACAGAAAAAGATAGTTCAGGGGATCCAGGAAACGGAGAGTCCAAAAGTAATAACTGTCAGGACGATGATGTGCACGCTGGCGATGTGGTTGAGGTATGTGAAGATGTTCCCGTCACAGTCCACTTGGACTCCGATAATGAGAAAGTTGAAGTTAAGGCAAACATCAACAAGAGAAAAGATAAGGTTAGAACGGATGGTGCTGACAGCAAAGATGAGATTAATACAGATGATGCAGACAAAGAATCTGAGGTTGAGGCTTACACAAGCGTTGGAGACCAGAGAGATGAGGAGAATACGGCTATTTCAGACACAAAAGATGACTTGATCCTGTCCACGTCATGTCGTAACGCGCGGGATCCTACGGACACTGTGACGTCATGCGACAGTGGGTCAGCCCGGAGTGTGGATGACACACCCAGGATATTCAACACCCAAAACGGAGTCCCAGTCGCGGGAGTGACGTCATGCAATGTCAAGGATTTTGATGGCCGTTACATCACGTTTCGGAGAGAATCCGGCGGTCAACAGGGCGAGAACAGACCAGTTTCACAAGGCAGCCGAGGCGCGTGTCCCCGTCCAAGTTTCCTTCCTATTTATCAAAGTACCTCTACTTTTACCACAACCCGCTCTCCCACCAGCCCCCACTCTCCCACAATTCCCTATTCTCCGACCTGCCCCTGTTCCCCCATTCCCATCAACCGTTCTTCCACCATCCGTTCCCCGCCCACCGCCCGTTCTCATACACCGCCACCTTTTAACACAACCCCACCTTCTCCAAATTCCCCAATTTTGCCAAACTCCCCAATTTCTTCCACTACCTCTTCCCCAAAACCTTCTTCTCCCACCGAACCTCTTTTTCCCACCAAACTTCTTTCTCCCACTGAACCTCTTTCTCCCATCAAACCTCTTTCTCCCACCAAACCCCGTTCTCCCACCAAAACGCGTTCTCCCACCAAACCTCGTTCTCCCACCAAAACGCGTTCTCCCACCAAAACGCGTTCTCCCACCAAACCTCGTTCTCCCACCAAAACGCGTTCTCCCACCAAAACGCGTTCTCCCACCAAACCCCGTTCTCCCACCACCCGGTCTCCAACCAAACTAACTTCAACCACCAAATCCCGTCCTCTCACCAAACCCCCTTCTCCCACAAACCCACGGTCTTCTGCCAAACCCCTTCCCTCCCCCAAACCCCTTCTTCCTCCCAAACCCCGTCTTCCCCCCAAACCGCCCTCTCCCACAAACCCCAGGGCTTCCACCAAACCCCCTCCTCCCCCAAAACCCGTTCTTCCACCCAAACCCTATTTTCTCAACAAACACTGTCCTCAAACCACTAGCCGCCCTGCTGTAAAGACCCATTCTCCCACCAAACGCCTTTCTCCCACCAAACCCCTTTCTCCCACCAAACCCCGTTCTCCCACTAAAGCCTGTTCTCCCACCAAACCCCCTTCTTCCACCAAACCCCCTTCGCCCACCAAACCTTGTTCTCCCACCACCCGTTTTCCAACCAAACCCCGTTCTCCCGCCAAACCAATTTTTCCAACCAAACCCAGTTCTCCCACCTCCCGTTCTCCCACTGTCCGTTCTCCCACCAAACCCCCTTCTTCCACCAAACCCCCTTCGCCCACCAAACCTTGTTCTCCCACCACCTGTTTTCCAACCAAACCTCGTTCTCCCACCAAACCCCGTTCTCCCGCCAAACCCATTTTTTCAACCAAATCCCGTTTTCCCACCAAACCCCGTTCTCCCACCAAACCCATTTCTCCTACCAAACCCATTTCTCCCTCCAAACCCCGTTTTCCCACCAAACCCCGTTTTCCCACCAAACCCCGTTCTCCCACCAAACCCCGTTCTCCCACCAAACCCCGTTCTCCCACCAAACCCCGTTCTCCCACTGTCCGTTCTCCCACCAAACTTCTTTCTCCCACCAAACCCCGGTTTTCCACCAAACCCCGTTTTCCGACCAAACCACGTTCTCCACCCATCCCCAGTTCTCCGCACACTTCCTGCCTGCCTGCGTGTACCCCACCCACACAACCTTCCCCACCCTCCCAACCCTCTCCATCCACACAACCCTATCCACTCTCCGCCAGCCCTACAACTGAAAGCCACGCAACACAGAGCTCTACAACCAAGACAACAAAACGAGTGAGGTTCACGCTGCCGTTCCCCACACCCTCCCCTCTTCTTCCAAATCCTCCCACGCCAGTGTCTTTTATGCAACGCCCCCTTGCTGCCCTCTCCAGCCCCACTGTGGCCTCTTCCCCGCACTCCAGTGGTACCAATCAAAGAGATATACCACTGGCTCCGTCTAGTACCAATCAAGGAAATAGACCAAACACCTCACCTGGCACACCTGAAGGAAACATACTTCAGGTAGAACCTAGCGCCAACCAAGGAAATGTACCCCATGTGCAACCTAGTACCCACCAAGGAAATAGCACTCAAGTACAACCTAGTGCCAACCAAGGAAATGAACCTCAGGTGGAGCTTAGTACCAACCAAGGAAATGCATCTCAGGTGTCAGCTGTTCCCAACCAAGGAAATGTATCTCCGGTGTCAGCTGTTCCTAATCAAGGAAACGTGCCCCTGGTGCAACCTAGTATCAACCAAGAAAATAAACCAAAGGAGCCACTTAGTACTAATGAGGGAAATAGACTACAGGTTCCATCTGCAGTCAACCAGGAAAATGTACCACAGGTGTCACGTGGTACCTATCCAAAAGACAGACCACAGACCTCACATGATATCAATCAAGGAAATGTATCTCAGGTGTCATCACCTACCAATCAAGGAAGTGTATCTCAGGTGTCATCTATTACCAATCAAGGAAATGTACCCCAGGTGCAACCTAGTGCCACCCAAGGAAATAACCCTCAGGTGCAACCAGATACCAAAGAAGGAAATTTACCAAAAGAGCCACCCGGTACTAATCAGGGAAATAGACAACAGGTTGCACCAGGTACCAGTCAAGAGAAAATACAACAGGTGTCACGAGGTACCAATCCAAAAGACAGAACGCAGACCTCACATGATACCACTCAAGGAAATGTATCTCTGGAGTCGTCTATTACCAATCCTGGAAAAGTAACCCAGGAGCACCCTAATACCAACCAAGGAAATAAACTTCAGGTGCAACCAGATACCAACCAAGGAAATGTATCTCAGGTGTCAGCTGTTCCTAATCAAGGAAATGTTTCTCAGGTGTCGTCTGTTCCTTATCAAGGAAATGTACCCAGGTTGCAACCTAGTACCAACCAAGGAAATAGGCAACAGGTGCCACCAGGTATTAATCAAAAAGACAAACCAGAGTCTTCACCTGGTACTGATCAAGGAAATATACCACACGTGTCGCCAGGGTTCAGCCAAGGAAATGTACCACAGGTGTCACGTGGTACCAATCCAAAAGACAGACCGCAGACCTCACATGATACCACTCAAGGAAATTTATCTCGGGTGTCATCTGTTCCAAATCAAGGAAATGTACCCCAGGTGTCATCTGTTCCAAATCAAGGAAATGTACCCCAGGTGTCATCTGTTCCAAATCAAGGAAATGTACCCCAGGTGTCATCTGTTCCAAATCAAGGAAATGTACCCCAGGTGTCATCTGTTCCAAATCAAGGAAATGTACCCCAGGTGTCATCTGTTCCAAATCAAGGAAATGTACCCCTGGTGCAACCAAGTGCCAACCAAGGAAAAAAACCTCAGGGGCAGCTTAGTACCAACCAAGGAAATGTATCTCAGGTGTCGTCAGTTTTTAATCAAGGAAATGTACCCAGGGTGCAACCTAGTAACAGCCAAGGAAAGAAACCAAAGGAACCACCTGGTACTAATGAGGGAAATAGACAACAGGCTCCATCTGCAGTCCATCCGGAAAATTGGCAACAGGTGCCACCTGGTGTCAATCAAAAAGACAAACCAAAGTCCTCACCTGGTACCGATCAAGGAAATAAACCACAAGTGCCTCCGGGATTCATCCAGGGAAATGTACCACATTGGGTGTCATCCAAATTCATCCAGGGAAATGTACCACAGGTGTCACGTGGTACCAATCCAAAAGACAGACCGCTGACCTCACATGATATCAATCAAGGAAATGTATCTCAGGTGTCATCTGTTCCCAACCAAGGAAATGTGTCTCAGGTGTCATCACCTACCAACCAAGGAAATGTATCTCAGGTGTCATCACCTACCAACCAAGGAAATGTATCTCAGGTGTCATCACCTACCAGTCAAGGAAATGTATCTCAGGTGTCATCACCTACCAGTCATGGAAATGTATCTCATGTGTCATCTGTTCCCAACCAAGGAAATGTATCTCAGGTGTCATCACCTACCTGTCAAGAACATGTATCTCAGGTGTCATCTGTTACTAATCAAGGAAATGTATCTCAGGTGTCATCACCTACCAGTCAAGGAAATGTATCTCAGGTGTCATCACCTACCAACCAAGGAAATGTATCTCAGGTGTCATCACCTACCAGTCAAGGAAATGTATCTCAGGTGTCATCTGTTACTAATCAAGGAAATGTATCTCAGGTGTCATCACCTACCAGTCAAGGAAATGTATCTCAGGTGTCATCACCTACCAGTCAAGGAAATGTATCTCAGGTGTCATCACCTACCAGTCAAGGAAATGTATCTCAGGTGTCATCACCTACCAGTCAAGGAAATGTTTCTCAGGTGCCATCACCTACCAGTCAAGGAAATGTTTCTCAGGTGCCATCTGTTCCAAATCAAGGAAATGTACCTAAGGTGCAACCTTGTACCAACCAAGGAAATAAATCAAAGGAACCACCTGGTACTAATGAGGGAAATAGGCAACAGGTTCCATCTGCAGTCAACCAGGAAAATAAGCAACAGGTGCCCCCAGGTATCATTCAAAAAGACAAACCAGAGTCCTCACCTGGTACGGATCAAGGAAATATACCACAAGGGCCGCCCGGTACCAATCAAGGGAAAAGACCACAATTGCCGCCATGGTTCAGCCCCGGAAATATACCACAGGTGTCATCTACATTCAGCCAGGAATATGTACCGCAGGTGTCACGTGGTACCGATCTAGAAGACATACCGCAGATCTCACATGATATCAATCAAGGAAATGTACCCCAGGTGTCATCACCAACAAATCAAGGAAATCTTTCTCAGGTGTCGTCTGCTATCAGTCAAAGAAATGTATCTCAGGTGTCATCTGCTACCAGTCAAGGAAATGTATCTCAGGTTTCATCTGTTACTAATCAAGGAAATGTATCTCATGTGACATCTGTTACCAACCAAGGAAATGTATCTCAGGTGTCATCTGCTACCAGTCAAGGAAATGCATCTCAGGTGTCATCTGCTACCAGTCAAGGAAAAGTATCTCAGTTGTCATCTGTTACCAGTCAAGGAAAAGTATCTCAGGTGTCATCTGTTACCAGTCAAGGAAAAGTATCTCAGGTGTCATCTGTTACCAATCAAGGAAATCTTTCTCAGGTGTCATCTGCTACCAGTCAAGGAAATGTATCTCAGGTGTCATCTGCTAGCAGTCAAGGAAATGTATCTCAGGTGTCATCTGCTACCAGTCAAGGAAATGTACCACGGGTATCACCTAATGAAAATCCAAGAAATAGACTACAAACTCCACCTGGTATGAACTTCACAAACAGACCACGTACTCCTCGTATGGACCAAAGAAATAATCTGCAGGCTCCTCGACGTATGGACCGAAATGATACACCACAAGCTCGATTTAATGCGAACAAGTCAAATAGACCACAGGTGCCACCAGGATTTAGCCAGGGAAATAGACCACATTGGCCACAAGGTATGGGTCAAAGAAATAGATCACGCATGCCGTCAGGCGCCAGTCAAAGAAATAGACCACAGTTGCAGCCTGGATTCAATCAGGGAAATATACCACAGTTTCCATTTTCATTCAATCAGGGAAATAGACCACAGATGCCTTCAACATTCAACCAGGGAAATGTACCGCCATTCCTACCTGCTATGTTGTTTGGAAATAGACCAGGGGCTCCACCGGAATTTATTGGAAACAATGCAGCTATACTATATGGTACTAATCACGGTAATCAACAAATCCTTCACCCTAGGGAGCAAAACAACATACCTCATGACCCACCTTCTGTGGACCACGAACGTAGATCACGAGGCCCACGATTCAGAAACCCGGCCACTTTTACAGAAGGCCCTCCTGGGTTTTTCGCAGATCACCATCTCCCGGCAGTACGGCCACTTTCACAAGTTTTTGTCCCAGTCGATAACGGACAATTCGTGGTTCCATTGGAGAGTTTACCTCATCTGCCAGGAGCACTTTCTCAAGATAATGTCTTCCAAGCCTACCCCAGTGGCTGTCAATCAGCTCCCATGACAGCTTTGAATGTTTCGATTCCCCCACCAAACGTTCCCCCGCCAACAGTGTTTGCGTACAACCCTTCCGACCCTGGATATATTCCAATTTCTCATGCTGCTGAGGGGCCAGGGGGTGAGCATGCTGGTGTGCTGCTACAAGGGAACCCCCCGAGTCTACAGACTGACTCATTTTCTCAGAACAACGCCCACGCTTTAGCCGTGTCCATCCCAGATGACCGCCCCTCGACACCGCCAAAGGACTTTATGTCTGAAAGTGGTCAGAGGACGGCTCAGCACGGCGCGCCACCCATGTTATCTGCCCCCTTGGACAGTCACCCACACAGGCAGCATTTGTCTCCGCAAGCTGCAACGACCCAGACACAGCAGCAAGTGTCTGAAGAACACTCGTCTGTGACAGACATTCCCGCGTCTGAGGATGTCACAGGTGTCAGCTCATCGTCCCAGGTCAGCTTAGCCTATGCGGACGCGCACACAATCCAATCTCAGGGAGTACACTCAGTCCATCCTCAAGAAGTGCAAACCGTTGGGTTAGAGATCACGAGAACCGCCGTTCAGCCCCAAAGACAGGAAATGGTCAGGTCTGAAGAAGCGCAGTACAGTGAATCAGTGAGCACGGGTACTGTTCAATCCCAAAGAGAGGAAATGATTATGTCTCAAGGAGCACATAATGTTCAACAGTCTCAGAAACAAACAGAGCAGTCACAAAAGTGGATAAGAATACCCGTAATGGAAATCTTCACATCCCACGTTGATGAAACAACCCACGAGGGAGCCACAAGTACTACCAGTATCGTAACCGAGCAAGATTCGGCTGGTCAAGAGAAAAAGTACAGACATCCTGAAACATTCACAGAATGCCCAACATCTGCTTCCAGGACGATGCCGACACAAGCAAAGCAAGAAGACCTTTTCTGGAGTTGTTCATCTTTCCCAGTGTCCCAGGAACTGCCATTGCTCACCCCGGAGGAGGAGGTGATGATGGTTGATTCCTCTGTCCTGTTTGCCTCACGTCCCGAGGCCCGGCGTCATGCTGCAGACGGAGACCCTGGAGCCCGTGGCCGAGTCGGGGAGGAGGAGGAGAGTCGAGAGGTGGAGGAGAGAGGAGAGGAGGAGAGTCGAGAGGTGGAGGAGAGAGGAGAGGAGGAGAGTCGAGAGGTGGAGGAGAGAGGAGAGGAGGAGGAGAGTGCGGAGGAGGAGGAGCAGGAGGAGGGGGAGGAGGAGGTGCAGGAGCAGGAGGTGGTGGTAAGTGGCGGCGAGTCGCTCAAGCAGTTGAATGTCCAGAACTTGGTGGTCAAGTTGGTTCAGATGGGGTTCAAGGCTGCCCGGGGAGAGACCGTTAACCTAGACGAACTAGTTGACTTGATAAGGCCCCAGTTTGGACCGCATGCTACAGAGGACATAGACGTTAGAGCGTGGCTGAGAAACTTGGATCCCAGTGGCGAATGTTCTGGAGCCACTGGGGGGTCGTACAGTGAACCTGGCGTCGTCACGAAGAGACCACATAGAGGAAGTGCTGGTGTCACCGAGGCATCAAGTCGTGGTGGTGCTGACGCCACGGTTCCCACCGCGCAGTCTGAAGTCGGAGATAGCCGTGACAGACATGAGTCAATAGATAGACTTTCGTCGCCGGGCGGGTCCGTCTATGATGATGACTGGCTTGACAGACAAGCAGTTGGGCCGTCTTTGTGCTGGGCCGAACAAGTCATTGCGGAAATCCCCAGCGACGACTCAGATCCGCAGGAGATCATCAAGATTTGTCAGCGGAGGTTGTTACGGGAACAAACGCCAGATGACGGGTTTGAGAAAAATACCAGTATTGAAGAAACATTTGGAGAAACATCCGATCCAGCTGAGCAATTTTCTCCAAACACATCTCACCCACGGCCATTTAACATGGCTGGTCTCGGGCCAGCAGACTCGGCAAACCCTGTCTTACCTAACCCCAGTACACTCGAAAAGAAGCCATATTACACGGGCGACACTGAGCAAAATGAGGAGCCATCTCAAACGGCTGAAATTGAGCCACCTTACATGTATGATAATGAACCACCCAACACAAACGACAATGAAACAACCTACACGGCCGGTACTGAACACAATGAGCCTTCTTACCCGACAGACAATGAACGCATTGAGTCATCTTACTCGACAGACAATGAACGCATTGAGTCATCTTACCCGACAGACAATGAACGCATTGAGTCATCTTACCCGACAGACAATGAACGCATTGAGTCATCTTACACGGCAGATAATGAACACATTGAGCCATCTTACCCGGCTGATAATGAACACATTGAGCCATCTTACCCGGCTGATAATGAACACATTGAGCCATCTTACACGGCTGATGGTGGGCCATCTTACACAGCTGACAATGAACACAATAAGTCATCTTACAAGGCTGATAGTAAATCATCCTATACAGCTGACAATGAACGCCATGAGTCATCTTGCCCAGCTGATAATGAATATAATAAACCATCTGAAACAGCTGATAATGAGCATAATGAGTCATCTTACCCAGCTCAAGAGGAACACAATCAACCATCTTACACAGCTGACAATCTGCACAATGAGCCTACTAACCCGGCTGACACTGGACCATCACACATAGCTGACAATGTACACAGTGTGTCATCTTACACCGTTGTCTCGAGCGAGGCTGAAGTAATTGGCCCGAGGTCGACGTGTAGCACAGCGGTCCCTATACAATATTCTACTGCTGAACCAACGGTATACTACACATCTAGCTTCAGCGCAAATGACACACCTGGCCCTAGTGTATATTACACAGCGGACTCTGTGTCATATAACACAACTCTCCCAGTTGTGCCTTACTCAGAGGGCCCTCCTGTATATTTCACAGATGACCCCAATACATATTTTACAGCTGTCCCCAATACATACGAGTACCATCCAGCTTACCCAGGCATTTATTACACAGATGACCCCAATACATCTCAGCCAACTGTCCCCGGCATATATTGCACAGCTGATCCCAATACACTTCACCCAGCTGCCCTCAATACATCTCAGCCAGCTGTCCTCACTACACATCAGCCAACAGTCCCCGGCATATATTACACAGCTGATCCCAGTACACTTCACTCAGCTGCCCTCAATACATCTCATCCAGCTCTCCTCAATACACATCACCCAGTTGTCCTCAATACATCCCAGCCAGCTGTCCTCAATACACCTCACCCAGCTGTCCTCAATACACCTCACCCAGTTGTCCTCAATACATCCCAGCCAGCTCTCTTCAATACACCTCACCCAGTTGTCCTCAATACATCCCAGCCAGCTCTCCTCAATATACCTCAGCCAGCTGTCCTCAATACATCTCAGCCAGCAGCCCTCAATACATCTCAGCCAGCTGTCCCCAGCATATATTACACAAGTGACCCCAAAACACCCCACCCAGCTGCCCACAATACATCTCAGCCGGCGGTCCTCAATACATCTCAGCCAGTTGTCCTCAATACACCTCACCCAGTTGTCCTCAATACATCCCAGCCAGCGGTCTTCAATACACCTCAGCCAGTTGTCCTCACTACACATCAGCCATCTGTCCCCAGCATATATTACACAGGTGACCCCAATACACCCCACCCAGCTGCCCTCAGTAAATCTCAGCCAAATGCCCTCACTGCTCATCAGCCAGCTGTCCACACTACACATCAGCCAGCTGTCCCTAATATAGCTATAACACATGTCCCCGTATCAACATCTTCCACGTCTGGCCCTAGGGTGCGTTTCGCCAGTAATTCTGTGTCAGAAACCACTGCTGATTCCCGGCCATCGGACACAGCTGACCCCAAGTCATCGAGCACAGCTAACACTAGTATGTCGCACAGGACTGTCCATAGGTCATCTTCCAGACCTAAGGCCAAGGGCTTTCAACGCGATCCAAGAAGAGCCAGATCGGTTGCGGCACAACCATTTTCCGGGACACGTAGAGATGTTGCTTCAGAAGAAAATGTCACCTTCGCCTCCGTAATGAGGCCTCAGTGGTCAACGTGTGATTGGCCTGAGCTTCCTCAGCACGTAGAGGCTCGGAGGCAGGAGTGGCTCGACAAGATGAACGCTGTCAAACCGCCGCCTATATCTGAGAAACGCTTGACTATCGAGAAGACTCGAGACGCTGTTGATTCTTCAGAAAGACAACTGGGTCTTTTAAATCCTCCTGTAGGGCATGCAGCCATAGTCAGCGTGGAGTTGGAGCAAGCAATTGAAAGTAGTAATCGCCCAAGGCAAGAGATGCAAACGGGAAATTCTTCTAGGAGGAGTCGCAGTTCACGCAGACCAGCAAGAAATCGAGGACAATCCCTGGTCCAACACAGGGAGCTGATACCTGCAGGTGACAGAAGCAGGAGGAGAATTCCCGACACGACATTCTCCCCCGTAGTCCTTCACGACACAGCCGAGACGAAAAACAAGGAAGTGAAATCGGGAGAACACCGAGACAGCCCGGCTGAAAAGAAAGAGGAACGTCATGAGGTTACGGCAAGGAAAAAAGCAAAACATCATGAGGCCACCGCTGAAAAGAAGGGAGAATATCAGGACGCCACGGCCAAAAAGGAACACCCTGTCGTCAAGGCAAAGAAGAATGAACTTGATGTCACGGCTGAAAAGAAGGGAGAATATCATAACGTTAAGACAAAGGAGGAGGAACATTCCGAAGTCATGGCTAAAAAGAAGGAACCTGAAGTCACGGCAGAAAAGAAGGATCTTGAAGTTACGGCAGAAAAGAAAGGAGAATATCATGACGTTAAGGAAAAGAAGAAAGAGCATCCTGACGTCAAGGAAAAGAAGAAAGAGCATTCTGACGTCAAGGGTAAAAAGACGGAACATCATGATGTCAAGGCCACGGCTGAAAAGAAGGGAGAATATCATGACGTCAAGGCTAAAAAGGAACACCCTGACGCCAAGGCTAAAAAGGAACACCCTGACGCCAAGGCTAAAAAGAAGGAACATCATGATGTCGTTGCTGAAAGGAAGGGAGAATATCATGACATTAAGGCAAAGAAGGAACCTCTTGACGTCAAGGCTAAAAAGAATCAACCTGATGTTATGGCCGAAAGCAAGGGAGAATATCATGATGTCAAGAATAAAAGGAGGGAACATCATGACGTCAAAGCTAAAAAGAAGGAACGTTATGATGACACTGCTGAAAAGAAAAAAGTGGGTGAAAGGAGAGATAACGAAAATATTCAGTCAGTTAGTCTTGATATCACACCAGAGAGGGAAGATAAGACAGTTAATCCTACTGGTCACTGTGACGTAACAGTTAAAAAGGAAGTTACTCAAATCAACCCTGTTGGCGAAAATGACTTCCCGATTACTTTTTCTGATAATGATCAGGCAGAGGGGGATGCTGGCCGTTCGAGTAACGACTCGAGGGAGGAAGGTACTGACGAGGCAGCGGAGAGAGAAACGGAGGGTGTGCGAAGAAAGAAGAAGAATCGGAAGCGTAGTGGGAGGAAGCAAACCAATCAATCGGAAGAATCCTGTCCCAAGCCTTCAGATGACCCTGAGATCTCTCACCCAGAGCCGAGCAAAAAGCAGAGAAGGAGAAAGCCCAGAAAAGCCCCAACTACGTGCCCGCACACTAGCAGCGTTTTCATCTCGCGAAAAAAGAACAAAGGCAAGAACGGGTCGGTCGAGGGCGAAGACCTTGATGAGCTGCTGCGGGAGTTTCAGGCGCTTGACCAGCCCCAGGTCACGTGCCTCAAGTGTGAGGCTGCAAAGACATCTGGAGGTCTGGCTGGACAACCGGGACAGACATCCACACAGTTGGAGGGAGCTCAAAACAACCCCAGCTACCCTGGACTGCCCAGTTGTCCGGACGCCCTGCAGGACGGAGCGAGTGGTCAGACATGTGACTCGGACAACCCTTTGGAGCCGGGCGAAATCAGGAGAAATTCTTCTGGTGCAGTGTCCAGAGCGTCGCCGGAAGCGGTTTTGACGCAGCCGGGTGTGCCCAGGTCGTCACAAGCTCAAGAGGGTGCCTTAAAGACAGACAGCCAGGAAGATGTGATCAAGACAGAAAGCCAGGCGAGTGAGACCCCCTCAGTCTACGAAGGCTCTAAACTCTTCTATCAATGGCGAACACCAGGCGCACCTGCACCCAGATCAGCGTCCGCCTCAACTGCCGCGAGAGCTGGCGAGACCTCGACAACCGAGGACCATGAGCTGCACAGCGGGCCACGTTCACGTCATGTGGAGCCTCAGCTGCCTGTCGCCACGACAACAGATAAGATAGCGCAGAGGGGTGACACGGGGAGTGGTGGTGGCGGCGGCATGGGTAGAGGTAGTATGGGTAACATGGCCAGTGGTGGTGACAAAGATTATATAGGCGATGGTGACATGGGGGGCAGGGGTAACCATGGTAACATAGACAGGGATAACCCGGGTGATGATAATCTGGGTGATGGTGACCTGGGTAATTATAACATGGGCAGAGGTAATCTGGGCAAGGTTAAAATAGGCAGAGGTAAACTGGGCAGAGGTAACCTTGGCCGGGGTAACGTGGGTGTTGGGGACATTGGTAATATGGGCAGGAGTGACATGGGTGATGATGACATGGGTTATATGGGCAGAGGTAACCTGGGTGATGGTAATATGGGCAGGGATAACATGGGCACTGGTAACATGGATGATGGTAATATGAGCAGGGATAACATGGGCACTGGTAACATGGGTGATGGTAATATGGGCAGGGGTATCATGGGTGATAACATGGGCACTAGTAATATGGGCAGTGGTGACATGGGTAATAGGGGCACGGGTGACCTGGATGAGTCGTCGGACAGCGATGAGAGCCAGGAGGACGATCGTGCTCCCAGAAGGACAGGGGCTCACGGTACAGACTGCCCCCAGTGTCAGGGCACCAACTGCCTGCCTGATGGGCGGCCCTGCGACAACGACAAGAGCAATGAGGTCCCTACTCACGACGGCTACTACTCCAGCGGCCTGGAGACCATCTGGTCCGGCACGTCTGACCCCGAGGACGAGGAGGAGGTTGGCCTGGGACGACTAGACTATGTTGGCCTCTTGCATTACCACATTTACAAATCAAAGGTGGCCGACCGTCCTCCAGTACCCAAGGTAGCCGGCATTCCGTCTCCGAGGCTCAAGCCAAGGGAACTGCGGTTCCACATCGAACCAGAAACCCAAACATTGAGAGAGGATGCTTCACGTGATGGGAAGTCCGGAAGGACTAATAAAAAATGTAAGTCACGTGACGTGCAGTCGGGAGGGACTGGTGAAAATGTCGTGTCACGAGACGTGCAGTCGGGAGGGATTGATAAAAATATATCACGTGACGTGCAGTCGGGAAGTACTGGTGAAAATCTCGTGTCACGTGACGTGCGATCGGGAGAGGAGAATATAGGACTAGCACAGACGACAAGCAAACCACACGGAACTCGAAAGAATACGACCAGAGATTCCAGACGTGAGCTCACGACGTCGTCGGCTGAAAAAGGTCGTGTGGAATCCTTTGACCGCGCCAGTGCCGAGCTGGGCTGCGCTCCATCACAGTCACAGGGAATAGATCTGGAGGGCACGACGAACATTGCTAGAGCCATCGAGGAAGCAATTAGGGGTTACACCCTTTCAGATGTGAACAGCAGCTTCGTGAAGCTTGACCGCGCCCTCTTCGCAATCAAATACACCCTAGCCTCTCTTGAAGACGCCCTTTTACTTGTGAACTCCAATAGCCTAAATTTTAAACTCAAACCGTCCGATTTTGAAGGCCCCCTTAACTCAATTGAAAATTCCCTCTGGTCTATTAAGATCGGACTCTTTAGTATTGACGACAAACTCTCAGCTCTTGAGAAGTCAGCTGAGTCAAAAGAGGAGACGGTGCCGGAGAGGAAAAATAGGAAGCAAAAAGACGGAGAAACGGGAGTATCGAGCGGGCAGGCCGTGACAGGCAGAGACCCGACGAACACGAGTGATCCACTGACCACATGTGACCCACCGATTTCTAGTGGCCCATCGACTTCTAGTGATCCTCCGACTTCTAGTGATCCTCCGACTTCTAGTGATCCTCCGACTTCTAGTGATCCTCCGACTTCTAGTGATCCTCCGACTTCTAGTGATCCTCCGACTTCTAGTGATCCTCCGACTTCTAGTGACCCGCCCTCACAGACCTCCACTAGTGACGCAACAACCACTAGTGACTCACTGGCTACTAATGACCCTACAGCCACGAGTGACCCAACTACCTCTTGTGACCCAACTACTACCAGTGACCCACTGACCTCCAGTCACTCATCGACCTCTTGTGACTCCTCAAATACCAGCAACTCACTAACAACAAGTGACCCAACTACCACTAGTGACCCAACTACCACTAGTGACCCAACTACCACTAATGACCCAACTACCACTAATGACCCAACTACCACTAATGACCCAACTACCACTAATGACCCAGCTACCACTAGTGACTCAGCTACCACTAATGACTCAGCTACCACTAATGACCCAATTACCACTAATGACCCAATTACCACTAATGACCCAATTACCACTAATAACCCAATTACCACTTGTGATCCAACTACTACCAGTGACCCACTGACCTCTAGTGATCCATCGACCACTTGTGACTCATCAAATACCAGCAACTCACCAACCACCAGTGCTTCAACAACAAGTGACTCACCGACAACCTCTGACCAAACTACCACTAATGACCCAATTACCACTAGTGACTCAACTACCACTAATGACCCAATTACCACTAGTGACTCAACTACCACTAATGACCCAATTACCACTAGTGACTCAACTACCACTAGTGACCCAACTACCACTAGTGACCCAACTACCACAAGTAATCCAACTACCACAAGTGACCCAACTACCACAAGTGACCCAACTACCACAAGTGACCCAACTACCACAAGTGACCCAACTACCACAAGTGACCCAACTACCACTAGTGACTTATTGACCACAAGTGGCTCGCCGATCTCCAGTCACCCACCAACTTCCAGTGACCCATCAACCTCAAGTCACTCTCCGACCTGTAGTGACCAAACCACCGCCAGTGACCCAACCACCACTTATAAATTGCCGACGACTAGTGGCCCAACTACAAGTGACCTAACTGCCACTAGTGCTCAACCAACCACCGTTGAACCACAGACCTCTAGTCACCCACTGAAATATAGTGACTCAACTACATCTATTGACTCAATAACCACCGGTGAACCAATAACCACTGGTCACTCACCCACCTCAAGAGACCAAGCAACCACCGGTGACCCAACGACCACCACTGACCCAGTGACCTTCAGTGACCCAGCAAATATCAGAAACTTGGCAACGACCAATGACACAGCGACCACCACTGACCCAGTGACCTTGAGTGACCCAGCAAATATCAGAAACTTGACAGTGACCACCTCTGATCCAGCGACCACCAGTGACCCTGCTACTATTGGTGACCCAACGGACACCTCTGACCCAACGGTCCCCAGTGACCAAGAGACTGTCGGTGACATCAAGCCCATTAGTAACCTACCTGCCACTAGTGACCCAGCGACCACTTGTGACCCAGAGACTACAAGTGACCAAAGGACATCCAGTGATCAACCGACCACTAAGGACACACTGGTCACCGGAGACCCAGCGACTAAAAGTGACCCAGAGACCAGTAGTAAGGTAGACACTACTGGTGACCAAGTGACAACTGATGACCCGGTAACCACTCGTGATTCATCGACCACTAGTGACCCAACAACCACTAATGACTCGGCAGCAACTAGTGACCAAACTACCGCTAGTGAGTCACCTATCTCTAGTCACCCACTGATTACTAGTGGCTCAACTCCAAGTGACCCAACTACATCAAGTGATCCAAGTGACCCAAGTACCTCTACTACACCAAGTGACCCAAGTACCTCTACTACACCAAGTGACCCAAGTGACCCAACCACCACAAGTAACTCACCCACCACAAGTCACTCACCCACCACAACAGACCAAGCAACCACCGGTGACCCAACGACCACCACTGACCCAGTGATCATCAGTAACTTAGAAAATATCAGAAACTCGGCAACGACCAATGACACAGCGACCACCACTGATCCAGGGACCACCAGTGACCCTGCTACTATTGGTGACCCAACAGATACCTCTGACCCAACTGACACCTCTGACCCAATAGTCACCTCTGACGCAACGGTCGCCAGTGACCAAGCCACTTTTGACAACATCGAGCTCATTAGTAACCTATCTGCCACTAGTGACCCAGAGTCTACAATTGACCAAAAGACACCCAGTGATTCCTCGACTACCGGTGACTCAACAACCTCGAGTGACCCAAAAACCACTAATGAATCACCAACAGATAGAGACCCAACTACCACTAGTGAATTGACGACCTCAAGCCTTCCACTGATTACTAGTGACCCAACTACATCTAGTGACCCAACTACATATAGTGACCCAACTACATCTAGTGACCCAACTACATCTAGTGACCCAACTATGTCTAGTGACCCAACTGCCACAAGTCATCCAACCACCACTAGAGACCAAACAACCACCGATGACCCAGTGACCACTGGCAACTCAGAAACCACCGATGAACCAGTGACCACCACTGGCCCTGCTACTACTAAGAACCCTTCGATCTCTGCTGACTCACCGACCTCTAATGGTTCAGTGACCACCAGTGACACAGTTACTGCTGGAGACCCGACAGACACTTCTGACCCAACTGTCGCCAGTGACCAAGCGACTGTCGACGACATGGGGGCCATTAGTAACCTACCTGCCACTAGTGACCCAGCGACCACAATTGACCAAAAGACACCCAGTGATCCACCGACCACTAAGGGCACATTGAACACCGAAAACCCAGTGACTATTAGTGACCCAATGGCCAAAGGTGACCCATATACCACTGGTGACCCATTGACAGCTGATGACCCAGTAACCACTAGTGACTCATCGACCACTAATGAATCACCAACAACTAGAGACCCAACTACCACTAGTGAATCACCGATTTCTAGTCACCCACTGACTACTAATGACCCAACTACATCTGGTGACCCAACCACACCTAGTGACTCATCTAGCACCAGTCATCCAACCACTAGTAGAGATCAAGCAACCACAGATGACCCAGTGACCACTGGCGACTCAGAAACCACCGATGAACCAGTGACCACCACTGGCCCAACCACTACCACTGGCCCAGCCACTGCTATTGACCCCTCGATCTCTGCTGACTCACCGACCTCTTGTGACCCAACAACCACAAACGACTCACCAAGCACCACAAGTGATCCAACTCCCACTAATGACTCGCCAACAACAAGTGACCAAACAACTACTTGTGAATCACCGACCTCTAGTCGCCCCCTGACTACTGGTGACCCAACTACATCTGGTGACCCAACTACATCTGGTGACCCAACTACATCTAGTGACCCAACTACATCTGGTAACCCAACTATGTCTAGTGACTCATCTGCCACCAGTCATCCAACCACTAGTAGAGACCAAACAACCACAGATGACCCAGTGACCACTGGCGACTTAGATACCACAGATGAACCAGTGACCACCACTGGCCCTGCTACTTCTAATGACCCTTCGATCTCTGCTGACTCACCGACCTCTATTGGTTCAGGGACCACCAGTGACTCAGTTACTGCTGGTGATCCAAAGAACACTTCTGACCCAACGACCGCCAATGACCTAGCGACTGTCGGCGACATCGAGCCCATTAGTAACCTACCTGCTACTAGTGACCCAACGTCTACAATTGACCAAAAGACACCCAGTGATCCACTGACCACTAAGGACACATTGGCCACCGGAGACCCAGCGACTATGAGTGACCCAGAGACCAGTAGTAAGGTAGGCTCTACTGGAGACCCAGTGACAACTGATAACCCAGTAACAACTAGTGATTCATCGACTGCCAGTGACTCATTGACCACTAGTGACTCACCAACCTTTGGTGACCCAACTACCACTGGGGAATTACCGATCTCTAGTCACCCACTGACTACTAATGACCCAACTGCATCTGGTGACCCAACTACATCTAGTGACCCAGGTGACCCAAGTGACCTAACTACATCTAGTGAACCAACTACATCTGGTGACCCAATTACCACTAGAGGCCAAGCAACCGATGACCCAGTGGCCACCAGTGACCCAACTGCTACTGATGACCCTTCGATCTCTGCTGACTCACCGACCTGTAGTGACTCAACTACCACAAATGACTCGCCAACAACTAGCGACCAAACTACCACTAGTGAATCACAGACATCTAATCACCCACCTACTACTAGTGACCCAACTACATCTTGTGACTCAACTACCACAAGTTATCCAACAACCTCTACAAGAGACCAAGCGACCACCCATGACGCAGTGACAACTGATGACCCACCAACCACTAGTGACCCTACCAAAACTAGTGACCAAAAAACGACTACTAACTCACTCATCGCTAGTGACCCAACGACTGCCACTGACCCAGTGACCACTGGTGACCAAGAAACTACTCATGGCTCAGCGACCACCGCTCACCCAGCCACCACCAGTCACCCATCAACTGTCAGCGACATAGAGCCCATTAGTATCCTACCTACCACTAATGACCCAATGACAACCACAAGTGACCCATCGACAACAACTGACCCATCGACAACTGACCCAGTGACAACAAGTGACCAAAAAACATCCAGCGATCCACCGACCACTAAGGACATACTGTCCACCGGAGACTCAGTTACTATTAGTGACCCAGAGACCAGTAGTAACGTACGCACTACTGGTGACCCAATTGCCAAAGGTGACCCACATACCACTGGTTACCAAGTTACAGCTGATGACCCACCAATCACTTGTGACCGTGACCCAACCAAAACTAGTGATCTAAAAACTACAAGTGACTCACAGACCACTGGTGACCAAGAGACTACTCATGGCTCAGCGACCACCGCTCACCCAGCAACCATCAATGACCCATCAACTGTCGACGACATAGAGCCTATTAGTACCCTACCTACCACTGATAATCCAACGACCACTGGTGACCCAACGACAACCAAAGACCCAGCCTATATAAGTGGCCAAAGGACACTCAGTGATCCACCGACCACTAAGGACACACTGGTCACCGGAGACCCTGCGGCTATAAGTGACCCAGAGACCAGTAGTAACGTACATACCACTTGTGACACAGTGACAACTGACGACCCACTAACCACTAGTGATTCATCGACTACCAGTGACTCAACAAACTCTAGTGACCCAACAACCACTAGTGAATCACCGATCTCTAGTGAATCACCGATCTCTAGTCACCCATTGACTACCAGTGACCCAACTACATCACGTGACCCAACTACATCTGGTGACTCAACTACCAAAGGTCATCCAACCACCACTACAGACCAAGAAACCGCCACTGGCCCAGCCACTACCGATGACCCTTCGGTCTCTGCTGACTCACCGACCTGTAGTGACCCAACTACCACTAATGACTCGCCAACAACTAGCGACCAAACTACCACTAGCGACCAAACTACCACTAGCAACCAAACTACCACTAGTGACTCACCGACCTGTAGTGACCCAACTACCACTAATGACTCGCCAACAACTAGCGACCAAACTACCACTAGCGACCAAACTACCACTAGCAACCAAACTACCACTAGTGACTCACCGACCTGTAGTGACCCAACTACCACTAATGACTCGCCAACAACTAGCGACCAAACTACCACTAGCGACCAAACTACCACTAGCAACCAAACTACCACTAGTGACTCACCGACCTGTAGTGACCCAACTACCGCTAATGACTCGCCTACAACTAGCGACCAAACTACCACTAGTGAATCACCGACATCTAATCAACCACCTACTACTAGTGACCCAACTACATCTTGTGACTCAACAACCACAAGTTATCCAACAACCTTCTCAAGAGACCAAGCGACCACCCATGACGCAGTGACAACTGATGACCCACCAACCACTAGTGACCCAACCAAAACTAGTGACCTAAAAACTACTAGTGACTCACCAGCCGCTTGTGAACCAACGACTGCCACTAACTCAGTGACCACTGGTGACCAAGAAACCATTCATGGCTCAGCGACCACCGCTCACCCAGCAACCACCAGTGACCCATCAACCACCGGTGACCCATCAACTGTCGACGACCTAGAGTCCATTGGTAACCTGCCTACCACCGGTTACCCGATGACCACCGCTGACCCAGTTACTGCTGGTGACCCAAAGAACACTTCTAATCCGAAGGTCGCCAGAGACCCATCAACTGTCGGCGACATAGAGCCCAATAGTAACCTACCTGCCACTGGTGACCCAACGACAACCACTGACCCAGCGTCTACAAGTGACCAAAAGACGTCCAGTGACCCATCGACCACGAATGACTCGCCGACCTCTAGTCTCCCACTGACTACTAGTGACCCAACTGCCACAAGTCACACAACCAACACTAGAGACCAAGTGACCACCGATGACCTAGTGATCACTGATGACTCAGAGACCATAGAAGACCCTGCCACTACAAGTGACCAAAAGACACCCAATGATCCACCGACCACAAAGGTCACACTGTCTACCGGGGACTCAGCTACTATTAGTGAACCAGAGACCAGTAGTAACGTACACACGACCGGTGACCTAATGGCCAAAGGTGACCAACATACCACTGGTGACCCACTGACAACTAATGACTCACCAATCACTAATGACCGAGACCCAACCAAAACTAGTGACCTAAAAACAACTAGTGACTCACCGTCCACTAGTAACTCACCAACCGCTAATGACCCACCAACCGCTTGTGACTCAGTGACCAGTGGTGACCAAGAGACCACTCATGGCTCCGCGATCACTACTCACCAAGAAACCACCAGGGACCCATCAACTGTCGGCAACATAGAGCCCATTAGTATCCTACCTGCCACTGGTGACCCAACGACCACTAGCGACGCACCGACAACCACTAGTGACCCGCCGACAACCATTGACCCAGCGTCTACAAGTGACCGAAAGACATCCAGTTATCCATCGATTAGTGAGGACACACTGTCCACCGGAGACCCAGCGACTATTAATGAACCAGAGACCAGTAGTAACGTACACACGACCGGTGACCTAATGGCCAAAGGTGACCCACATACCACTGGTGACCCACTGACAACTAATGACTCACCAACCACTAATGACCGAGACCCAACCAAAACTAGTGACCTAAAAACTACTAGTGACTCACCGTCCACTAGTAACTCACCAATCGCTAATGACCCACCAACCGCTTGTGACTCAGTGACCAGTGGTGACCAAGAGACCACTCATGGCTCCGCGACCACTGCTCACCAAGAAACCACCAGGGACCCATCAACTGTCGGCAACATAGAGCACATTAGTACCCTACCTACCACTGGTTACCCAACGACAACCCCTGATCCAGTTACTGCTGGTGACCCAAAGAACACCTCTGACCCAACGGTCGCCAGTGAACCACCAACTGTCGACGACATAGAGCCCATTAGTAACCTACCTGCCACTGGTGACCCACCGACAACCACTGACCCAGCGTCTACAAGTGACCAAAAGACAGCCAGAGAACCACTGACCACCAGTGACCCAGCGAAAACTAGTGACCCAACGACCACCAGTAACCAAGTGACCATTACTGACCCAACGACCACCAGTGACCAGGTGACTATTACTGACTCAGATGACCCCACGACCACCGATGACCCAGTCACCACTGGTAACCCAGTGACTAGAAATAGTAACCCACCTGCCACAAGTGACCTGCTCACGCAGTCAGGCAATGCAGGAGGCGCGGACTTTGTGTCGTTCTCGGACCCAGTATTTGAGATATCAATGGAGAGGCATGATGACCACCACACTGACCCTCAGCTGGACAGAAGTGACCACGCCGACAGTCCAGCGGCCCCCGCTTCTCTCATCACTGTCATCTATACCGAATCCAGCACTGTCATCAGTATAGCCCCCGACACTGTCACCGATGCTGCTACCAGGAATGTGATCGATACCGATTCCAACATTGTCACCAATGCTGCTAACAGGAATGTCATCGATACCGATTCCAACACAGTCACCGATGCTGCCACAAGTACTGTCTTCGATATCACCCCCAACACGACCCCCAGCACTGTCATCGATACCGCTCCCAGAAGTGTTATCGACTCGGCCCCACACAATGTCGTCGATGCTATTTCCAGCGCTGCCCATGGTATCGCCCTCACTGCCCACTCTATTGCCTCCACCACGCCCACCGCCACCCCCGACAATACCCTCACCACAGTCGCCGACACCGACACCACCCTCACCACAGTCGCCGACACCGACACCATCCTCACCACCGAGACCGACACCACCCTCACCCCCGAGACCGACACAACCCTCACTATCACCCCCGACACATCCCCCGACACATCCCCGGTTCCCGACAACACCCACGACGCCGGCACCACTTCCGGTCTCGCCCCCACTGCAATCGACACCGACACCACCCTCACCACCCTCACCACCCTCACCACCAACCCCGATACAGCCATCCACACCGCCCCAACTTTCTCTGGCCCCACCCCCGACACCACCTCCAGCTCTGCCCACACCGCCCTTGACACCCCCGCCACCCCCGCCACCGCCCCCGACACCACCCTCGCCTCGGCCTCCGGCCCCGCCCCCACCGCCTCCGCCTCAGCCTCCGGCCCCGCCCCCACCGCCTCCGCCTCAGCCCCCGCCCTCACCGACCAAGAGCTCCGCCTGGTCATGGCCACCAGCAGACGTCGCGGCACGACTCGACTTCACCGGAACCTGACGGCTTGCTGCCACTGCCACGCCAGGGTCAAGGCCCCGCTCCGCTGCTCACAGTGCCACATGGCCACCTACTGCGACAGACAGTGCCAGGGGCTGCACTGGAGGCATCACAAGCTACAGTGTCGTGAGTTTGGTTGTTGTTGTTGCTGCTGTTGTTGTTGTTGCTGCTGTTGTTGTTGCTGTTGTTCGTTGTTGTTGTTGTTGGTGGTGGTATTGGTGGTATTGGTGGTGTTGGGGTTGTTGTTGGTGGTGGTGTTGTTGGGGTTGTTGTTGGTGGTGGTGTTGTTGGTGTTGTTGGTGTTGGTGGTGTTGGTGGTGTTGGGGTTGTTGTTGTTGTTGCTGTTGTTGTTGTTGTTGTTGTTGGTGGTGTTGGGGTTGTTGTTGTTGTTGTTGTTGTTGTTGTTGTTGTTGTTGTTGTTGTTGTTGTGTGTGTGTGTGGTAGCCTATCCGTTCGAAATGTTTGGAGCCCCGAAGAGCGTGCTCTTCGCCAGGGCCACCGCCTCTCCTTGGTTTGTGGTTGCTGTTGTTGTTGTTGTTGTTGTTGTTGTTGATTTTGTTTGTTGCTGTTGCTGTTGCTGTTGCTCCTGCTGCTGCTGCTGCTGCTGCTGCTGCTGCGTGGGTGGTTGGTGGGTGCTCTGGTGTGGTTTGCTCCTTCTTTCCTATCAAACATCTGTCGTCCTTTTCACCCCTCCTTCTATTTTGTATTTATTACTCTCTTGTAACACCTCTAATCTTCGGCACTTATATGACCTTATTGCGTTGCAAGTGCCGTAAAACTCTTACTTAAACTTAAAAAACCCAAAAAGCTACTGCTGCTGCCTCTGCTATTGCTTTTGTTGGCTCTTCCGCTCAAGCTGCAGTTGCGGGTGATTGGCGAGTGGTCTGGTATAGTTTGCTCCACCTTTCCAATCAAACACGAATCATCTTTATCTCTCTTTCGGGGGCTCTCGGAGTTAGAGATACGGTGCTCGCCTCTCTTTCAATAGGTTCCGGGTTCGAAAGCTGACACAGACGGAAAATTCGATAAAAGTAGGCGCCTGCTGCCACCTGGCCAAAGTTCAAAATTCCTAACAAACGGAAATTATATCGCACGCTCGTATGACCGTGTGCAGTTGCCAGCTCGGTAAAACACTTTAAAAATATCCCTCCTCCTTTTTTGTGTTTGTTACTCTCTTGTAACACTAACCTTTGTCGCTGATATGACCTTGTTGTTCTTCAAGTGCCGTAAAATTCTTACTAAAACAAAACGCAACTAACACATTGCACCTCTAATCCTTGGCATATAATATAATACCTAATTATGTAGCAAGTGTCGTAAAGCGCTCACTGAAAATAGCCCCATGTACTGGATCTTCTTGCGCAGGTCACATAAAGCTCTTCGAGCACGCCAAGTCCCTGATTAATGACAACATCCTCGACCTGATACATCTCTCGCACATGCCTCTCGTCACAAAGTTCATCCGCTGTCCCGAGCACTACCTGGGTCAGTGTTTGGTTTTTATGATATTATTACTACAATGTATGTGAGAGTGTTTGTCTCTGTGCAGTGTGTGTGTGTGTGTGTGTGTGTGTGTGTGTTTGTGTGTGTGTGTGTTTGTGTGTTTGTGTGTGTGCGTGTGTGTGTGTGTCGTAACAAAGTTCATCCGCTGTCCCAGACTCTACGAGGGTCAATGTTTGGTTTTTATATGTGAGGCATCTTGGTGAAATCAGGCGCTCGTCAAAATAATACAAACATTTTTTTGCCAGTTTGGTAATTTTTATCGATTTTTAAAATCTTTTTTTTTTTTTGCTCAACATCTTTTATGTCTATTCAAGAACACATTTCTGTGTGGATTTTACTGAAAAACGTTGATTAAAAGCAAAAAAATGTAAGTTTTCCGTTACCACGGGCTCTCAAGTTAAGGAAATAACCAAGCTTTTGCGGTCATTTTCTCGCTAATTTAACCCCTGAAACATGACTATCACCTCCCTTAAATGCGGATATCTCGATTTCTATTCAAAGTAAATGAGTATTTTTTCCTTCGGAGGCAAGACAAATGAACCAGATTTAAGCTGGTTCCAATAACTCCACATGCCCGAAAATTGACGAGCGCCTGATTCCAACAAGTTGTGTCACATATTATTACTACAATGTATGTGAGAGTGTTTGTCTCTGTGCACTGTGTTTGTGTGTGTGTGTGTGTGTGTGTGTGTGTGTGTGTGTGTGTGTGTGTGTGTTTGTGTGTGTCTGTGTGTATGTGTCTGTATGTGTGTGTTTGTATGTGTGTTATGTGTGTGTTTGAGTGAGTGTGTGTGTGTGTGTGTGTGTGTGTATGTGTGTGTATGTGTGTGTGTGTATTTGTGTGGAGAGGTGGTTCTGTCTGAGCATGGTTGGCGGGTGCTCTGGTGTGGTTTGCTCCTTCTTTCTTATCAAACATATATCGCCCTTATCTCCCCTCCTTCTGTTTTGTGTTTGTTACTGCCTTGTGACACCTCTAATCTTCGGCACTTATATGACCTTATTGTGTTGCAAGTGCCGTAAAACACTTACTAAAACTTTTAAAAAACTTAAAAGCTTAAACATCTACAATTACTTTCACTCCCTCCCTGTGGGTGGTTCGCGGGTGCTCTGGTGGGGTTTGCTTCTTCTGTCCTATCAAACATTTATAGGCTTGACCTCTCTTTTTTGTGTTTGTTATTCTCTTGTAGCACCTCTAATCTTCGGCACTTATATGACCTCATTGTGTTGCAAGTGCCGTAAAACACTTACTAAAACTTTTTAAAAACTTAGAAGCTTAAACATCTACAATTACTTTCACTCCCTCCTTGTGGGTGGTTCGTGGGTGCTCTGGTGGGGTTTGCTTCTTCTATTCTATCTATCAAACATGTATAGGCTTGACCTCTCTTTTTTTGTGTTTGTTATGATCTTCTAGCACCTCTAATCTTCGGGACATATGTTGACTGTTTTGTGTTGTAAGTGTCGTAAAACTTATTAAAACTTAATCTTTTATTCTGTTGCAAGCACCGTAAAATTCATGCCTGAACTAGACGTTAATTGTATTGCAAGTGTCGTATAATGCTTACTAAAACTTTAAACAATCCTCCCTCCCTTGTTCAGTTCAATTTTATGGAGTGAGGCGGACTCTGATGGTGGAAATAACCGAGACGCGTTTTGAGGATCCATGCTGGACTCGCCTCAAAGCGAAGGTAGGTGCTGTGAGGTGGGTGGTTGGGTGGGTGGCGGGTGCTCTGTTGTGGTTTTCTCTTTCTTTCCTATCAAACATCTATTGCTCTCACCCCGCCCCCCCTCCCCAATCTTTCGTTTTCTTAATAAATGCTACTCTCCAGTAGTGGGTGTATGGCAGACGCCCTGGAGTGGTTCGCTCCTCCTTACCTATGGAACGTGTATCGTGTTTATCTCTCTTTGTGGGTGGTTGGCGGGTGCTCTGGTGTAGTTTGCTCCTTCTTTCCTATCGAACACCTGTCGTCTTTATCTCCCCTCCTTCTATTTTATGTTTGTTACTCTCTTGTAACACCTCTAATCTTCGGCACTTATATGACCTTATCCTGTTGCAAGTGCCGTAAAACTCTTACTAAAACTAAACAATCTCTCTTCCTTTTCTCTGTATGTTACTCTCTATTTACTCCTATGACCTCCACTACCTATCATGATCCGGTGCCTTGCCGACTGGCGTGTGGGTGGTTGGCGGGTGCTCTGGTGTGGTTTGCTTCTTCTCTCCTATGAGACATCTATCGTCCTTATCTCCCCTTTTCTTTTTTTATGTTTGCTACTCTCTTGTTTCACCTCTAATCTAAGCTTCTGGCACTCCTATGACCTTATGCAGTTGCGAGCGCCGTAAAACCTCTATTAAAACTAAACTAAAACTAGCCGACTGGCGTGGGCGATCATGGACCTCCACTTCACTCTGTCTTGCGTTGCAGCAATGATGTGTATGTGTGTGTGT